ATAATAATAAAAACACTGCTTCAGCATTAAGAAGGGAATTAATCAAAAACACATTTTTTTCATATTTAGGTCTTTAATCCTAGATTTATTTTTCATGTAGGGTGTGAAGTATGCAGACAATTTTTATTTGTTTTCTGAATGGATATTTGACTGTCTCAAAAGTTAGTCTACTTTTTGCTAATTTGTAATCACTTTTGTGATATACAGAAGTGTTTTTGTTGTTCTTTTTGATATAGGGCACATGTGCTCACCAGAGAGAGACAAAAGGAGGGGAAGTAAGAAATCTCCATGATGAAGGCGGGGGTAATGACCATAATAGGCAAACCCTTCTCCTCCATTCTCCTGTCAGCATTTCGAGCATGCACTCACATGCACTGGTGTGTTTCTCAAACTGTCAGGGTCATAAACCATGGAGGCAGCCATGTGGATCAAACACCTTAATCTCCATGTCACCTGCTGGCCCCTACGAAGATATTTTTGTAAGCTACCTATTTTGCTCCAAAAATATTATTTTTTTCCTAACTCAGTACTTCCCTAATAACTGTACAACATATTTTAGTATATGCTAGGGCGGTGTCCCTACAATGTCATCTCTAGAATTGTCTTGGCTATTTTTAGACCTTTATTTTTTCATATAAATTTTAAAAGCTGCTCGTTAGATTTCATGAAAAATCCTATTGGATTTTTAATTGGAATATCATTAAATTTGGATAATTCATATCCTTATAGTAATGAATTCTCATGCCCATAAATATGATATATATCCCTCTATTCTCATAGTTCTTCTGTTATGCCCTACAATAATATTTTGTGATCCAAGGATAAAATTCAGTGGGTTAAGGATTTTGGATGGGAAAAAGGAATTCTTCATTTTACTGATCTCTAGCTGAAATTTAGCATTTCCTTTAGCTAGAAGTAACAGGCAACAAACCGCAATAATTTCAGTACTTCCTTTGACTTTTTCACCAATAAAAGCTAAAGGCATTCATATCACATGGAAGATGTGGCAGGTATCTCAAAAAACTTTCCATGTTCTTCCCTCTCTAAGATTACAGTCTGATATCACAAGACCCACTGCCGAATCTTATTTCATGCAGGACACCATACACTCATAGTAATTTGTGAGTGTATGGAGCCTAAGAGAACTGTTGAGGCAAAGTAACTAAGGCCAAAAAAGTGTCTATTTGAGCCTGGGTTGAGAATGACGCCAGGGGACACAATATCCAAGGCCCTGAATATTGTGCATCAAGGCCTTAGAGATATCAGGATCATTTTAAAGGCAAAACATATGAATGCAAAGGGGATTACACAAGTGTTCATCAAAGTTTTACACTAGCCAAAAGCTGTAACAAGGGTCTTTTGCATAGCAGTGATTGTTCCCCCTAAGTGCTATGGTAGGGGAACTGGATGACTTCACAGTCTCCCAGGTAAGCCTGCTTAATCTTAAACAAAAAGTGTGGAGGCAACAAGTCCGACTTTGTTTTCAGTGCTGGGAAATGGGAACATTTGAAAGGTACAGCAAGCATGCGTGATTTGGGGCTCCACTGTTCATTTCCATGAGCCTAAAATTTTGCATGCCTCGTATTTCTAAGACTAACTTGCCTTCCTTTCTCAACATTTTAAAATATCTTTACATTCTTATTTGAAAGTTAGTAGTTTCCCTTAAAATCCTGTGTGTTTTATTTTGTTTTTAAAACATTAAATGCAGACTTCACCCGAGTGCCAAATAGTCCTTGGCACAAAAGAGGGTTAAGAACCTTGGGGGAGTCTCTTCTCTTTGACACTCATGTCCTAACGTTGGACCCTTTCTGTCCTCCTGGACTTTTGAAATTCACATTGTACATTTCTCATTTTCTGATTTACCAAATCTACATTTCTACATAGAAAACAGTATACTAATTTTTTTTTTGAGAGGTTTTTGCTATAGGGTGCATGCGCTCACCAGAAAAAAAGACAGAGACAGAGACAGAAAGTGAGAAATCACCCCCCAGGGGGGATGGCCACGCCGCAATCCCTTCTCCTCCATTCTCCTCTCAGGATCTTGGACATGGACACACATGCAACCGATGTGAATTTAAGCCACCAGGTCCAGGACTTGAACTGTGGTCAACTACATGGGAGTTCAGCGACATAGCTATTACGCTAACTGCTGGTCCCATTTTTCATAGGTGGCATATCTACTATTTATCTACCAGAGGACTTTTCTTTTTTTTTTTTTTTTTTAATGTCTTGAGTATTTAGTTATCTAGTTTTTAAAACTTTTTTTTCATGTTCTGGTCTTATTTCATGATTATTATTCATTTATCTCTTTGAGTATCCTGTTACCCTGAAAGGATAAAGTAAGCAAAACAAAGAATTTATTTAGGCCAGTGCTAAGATGACCACCCTAGAAAGGTCATTCTTTCTCTTTCTCTTTCTCTTCCCTTGAAGACCCTCCTCCAGAGGGATCCTGTGTCATATTTTGGAGGAAAGAGACCTACACAGAAAGGCCAAGAAAAATTTGGACAGGCCTAGGCCTGGCTTCCCCTTTGATCTGTTACCATGAGGTCACATCCTTTCATCCTGTGATATTTCTATGTTCCTGTCCTTTCTTCATCACACCCAGGCATATGAAGAGACGCTTTCTGTGGATCTTCATTTCTGAAGACTCCTCATGTCACTTAAAACTTATATTAGGCCCAGCCTGGTGGTATAGTTAGTAGGAACCGAACTGCAGTGCTGAAAGTTGCATACCCAACAGCAGGTTCAGATACCCCCCTAAAATCGTCTGAAAGCATTCGCAGTGCATGCCCAAGATGCTCACGAGCTGTAAGTGCTGGGAAAGGGGATCACAGCATGATGATACCCTCTCTGCTGTCCTCTCGCTCATGCACACACATATACTATCGTGTATAAATAAATCAATAAAACTGCCCCAAAGTTTGGATTCCATAAATTTGTTATGCCTCTCTTGTTAACCTTCTTCTAGAGTTCTTTTATTATGGGAGTGTCACTGTGATCCTAATGATAGGGATCACACCTTTCTGCCTCAACACTAGTCAATAGTCATAATAGTCATATGGTTATAATTTCATAACTGACCCTGGAAATAGATTCATCTTTACTAGGACCTTCAAGGTCACAGACAGTTTGCTCGGAAAAGACCAGGTCTCTCAAAGCTACTTAAGTCTCTTCCTTCTCTCCCTTCCCTCCAGTCAGAAAAACGTAGGCACTGAGCACAGGTCAAAATAGCAAACTGGGCAGTCACCAGATCAAGCACACGTGGGCATATCAGAGTGTTTTTCCATAAATTAAGCCCACCCTGATTTGACCAACAAATCCCTACATGTCTTTAAGTATTTTCTCAGATTCAAGGTAAAATTTTAAAATGTATAGCAGGTAAGTGTTAACATGTTCAGGGCTAGCCTCTGGCCTGGTGTTAAGGGAGATGGATCCCACATGGCCAGCCATATGGTTCGAGTCTAAGACCTGGCAGCTTGAAAAAACAGTCTCAGATCTGGCAGCTTGAAAAAAACATACCAGGCACATATGCATGCATGTTCCAAATCCCAGAAAGATGGAAAAGTGGAGGAGAGGGGATTTCATTATGACTGTTCTCCATAGGGGTGGAGTGTGCTTTCTCTATCTCTCTCTGTGACTCTCACTCTGGCAAGCACATATGCCCTCTGGTAATTTTTGTTAAATGTTCATATATAACGGAAAATGAAACTTTGTCTTCTATAACAAATAGTGATAGACAAAAATACTTGTTAATTAAAGATAGCAACCTATCGGGACCAGCAGTTAGTGTAATGGTTATGTCGCTGGACTCCCATGTAGTCGACCGCGGTTCCCGTCCTGGACCCGGTGGCTTAAAACTCAGGCTGGGCGCGTGTGCATGCACGCCCAAGATCCCAAGAGGAGAACGGAGGAGAAGGGATTGTGGCATGGCCATCCCCCCAGGGGGTGCTTTCTCGCTTTCTGTCTCTCTGTCTGTCTCTGTCTGTCTGGCGAGCACACGTGTCCTATAGCAAAAAAAATCTCTCAAAACAAAAAAAAACAAAAAAAATAGCAACCTATCTGATTTAAGTTTATCAAATAAATATTCTATGTAAATGCAAATTCATTATCACGGTACTTCTCTTTTAAGCCATTCCCCCTCTCTCCCACACACCCCACCACTCCACTTGATTCTGTCATACTTGGATATAATTTTCTGAATTACATATCTTTTTCTATATGTTCTCCCTTTCATTGATCTTTAAACATTTTGCTGAAATTAACTTTTCAAACTTTTGGGCTGAGCAGCTGAGAAATCTTTCAAGTGTTCATACTGTGCCATCTGGTGGAAATTTTGTCTTTTCCAGGCAGAGGCAAATAAGAGAACTTTCCTGGTCCATATATCCGTGGTTCAGTTCCAATGTTTAGTCACAAACAGATTCTAGTAAACTTTATGAAAACAGACAGCTGAGGCCAACCTCATCCTTCCAACTCTATCAGTTTAGCATTTTTAAGGGAAATCTTTCTGCCTGTCCTGTAAACTTTATAAATTACTACAAAACAAAACAAAATCTAAAGGCCCAATTTATATTCTTTCTCAGAAAACTATATAGGAAATGCACATGTTATCCTTAAATCTGTCTTTTTTTCCCCAATCAACTTTATGTTTTAAAATAGTTCTGTAAAGTCATTGATAAATGGTATTTTCTTCTGGTGTGACATGCCAGTGTCACATGCCATCCAAAACTACCACACAGCATTAGGGATGTCTGATGTTTTTATCTGTTTTTGAGGGTTCGAATTGCATAACCTTTCTTTCATAGGGAGTGTATTTCTTTACTACAGATTATTCTTGGATTTATCAACAAATAATGTATAATATGTTAGCACTCAAGAATGACTAGAAAATTCTATGTACCCTAATTATATTGTTTATGCTAAGCCATGGGTTGAGAGATTTCTGGGGTGGCTTTTTCTTTTTTAATACTTTTTTTTTTCTTGGCTTCCTTTCTTTATTTCAGGTTAGAATCCCCCACACGGAGTCTCAGCATCGATGCCCCAAGGGGTGTTCATATTAAAGCTCATGCTGGGAAAATTGAGGCCTTCTCTCAGATGGATATCATTTTTCATAGTAGTGATGGAATGGTAAGTTCAACAGATCAAGTTCCTATTGTATGTCCTGATGAGATCCCTGAGTATCACGTTCAGTAAGATATCAGTATACTAAATTTCTAGTCATTTGTAATAAAATGTTACGAAAGGCATACGGTAGAAAATATGAAAAGAAAGCAAAAGCCAATTTAATATTTTTTTTATTTTTATTATCCTCATAATCTTCTTTATATTACATTGGATTACATATAACTTTACAGTGTATTACATTGCTTTTTCAAAAGTAACCGCCATGCATGTCAGTCAATACAGAGACATTAATCTCCCCGCTTCATCATTCAATATCTTTTCTATGTTTTTCCCAATCATTATTATTCTAATTATTTTTTAAAACAGTCAATCACTATTTCTCATTTTACTTGTAAAAAGACTTTACCCATCATGAAATACTTCTCAGACCAATCCAGTTGACAGTACTATACATGTCATCAACAGGTAATAAACCCTATCTGTTTCTCACTAATGTCCTGCCTCTCTGTTGTTCTCTTGCTATCTTTCTCTATCCTCTTCTTTTCACCCCCCCCATTCCACACTGTCCTATGCTCATTAAGTACCTTCACTGCTTTTATGTCCTCCAATTTTTCGCTCTATACCATAGAGTGTGGATAGTCGGTATATATTGAGTGGATACATACAATATCTTTCTTTCATAGCCTGGCTTACTTCACTCAGCAATAGATCCTCCATATCTGACCACTTTCTATCAAATTTCAGGGTCTTGTTATTTTTTATGGCTGAGTAGTATTCCATAGAGTATATATACCACACTTTTCCAATCCAATCATCAGTTTGTGGATATTTAGGT